TGGAAATGTCAGGTATATTCAGCCCTTGTTGGACTTGGTCTTGAAGGCTATGTTGATTGCACCATCACTGTCCTGGATAAATATCTCGATGATTCCAAAACACAACTCAACCCTTGTTATGCCATTTGGTATCGACAAGATCACGCCATCATCAGTGCCATTTGATATAATTCCTTATATCATCGGACTACCATGGCTCACAATGCATGGGACAAGATGGTGTTCACTACGCCAGTACGTCACGCGACTGAATCATATCTCTCAAGACCTCTCTTGCTCGGACCACACGGGGTAGTCGATCCATAACTGACTATCTCGCCGAGATGTATGCCATATTTGAGGCATTGGTCCTCGCTCAAAACCTAATCTCGGTCATAAACACTCTCAAGGCCTCGAACCGAAATACAATGATCTTACATCTGTTATCCGGGCACGCTCGTCGACTCACCTGTTGGCTGAACTGCAACAAAACTTACTTTAACATGAAACTGGACTTCAAGAACCTGCGGCCGCAAATCAATTAATTGTTCCAACCGCCAATGCTACCAACATGGCTTCACCAACTTATGATCTTCGTCCATCTCAACACTATGGACGACGTCGATAGGAGGTCACGGTCGTCGTGGTGGCCATTTTGGTCATCTGTCCAGATCCTCCACGCCCAATGTTGTCTACCATTTTTGCTCCATTTCAGATCACGGTTTGCAACAGTGTTACAAGTTGCAATGATTTATCTGGGAAAACCATATTTCCACTCCTATGGCATCATCACATCCTATCGTTAATACTATGGCGGCCAACTTTTTCGCTAGTGGACAATTGTGGTTGTTTGATAGTGGAGCGTCATATTGTGTTACATTGGCGACCTTCATCCTGAACCTTGGGGGTAGGTTCCCTTGTTTGATAGCTGTTGCGGGGGATCATTGATGTTCTCTTTATCGTGGCATCCCTCATGTTTTTTACTGTGCCCAAGCGGCCTCGATCTCCAAGCCTTCGAGAAGTCGGTGTTTTGTCAATTGTCGTGTGGACTGAGGTGTGAGAGGCATCAGATTCCCTTGTTTTCTCCCTAAGGAACTGCATACATCGAATAGGAGATGGGGGTGCGCTCTGTCTCAGTGGAGTAGACGGTTTGCTTCGCATCATTTTGATCGGCCATGCTTCGCATAGTGTCAGCGAGTTCCGTCAAGAGTCGTGGGTCACTGCAGGCCTCAGCAGGAATCAAATGGGTAACATCCCCACGATCGCCCCGGTACCATTCACTCTCGGATGGCTCTGCAAGTCAGAGTCCACGGCCTCCTGCTATCGCGCAACTGTACAGACAGATCCCTGGTGTGTTCGGACGAGAATCTAACCACTTTGCTTGTTTAGAGTAGCTTGTGTTCGTAAAGTGCTGCTTAGCACGAGAGCCTACTCGGGAGAATTTTGTTCAATTTCCCATAGACGTGCCAATGTTGAGGTTTGTTTCTCTCGGTCCAAGGGCCAAACACCTTCACTCGGGCTTTCATAGAAGTTTTAATGGGTTTGATATATTTTATTGGATTTAGTTAACTTTTTTTTGGCACAAGTACTAGAAAGAAAGAGTAGAATGGAAAATGGCACTAGTGCAAAATTACCTTTTAACATCACAGTTTCTACATGTGTTATCTTACAGCACATGTGAAATAATGACATGGGGTCATTTTTACAATTATCATAAAATTTTTGTAACATTGGTTGTAATTATACTTGATGTTAAATAGGACCGCGGGGTATATTTTAACATTTTATAAAATATTGTACATTGGTTACTGATACAACCGATGTGAAAAAGAAAAACGGGTACTTTTTAGAATTATCAAAAATTGTAATCACTACGGTTATAAGCGAAGTACATCATTAAAAAGAAAAGAAAATCCCGAGATTATCTAGATGGGTTATAGCCGATCTATATAATAAAAGAAAGAGAGAATTCCCTAAATAGGAGTAAAAACGTTTTGAAATTCCAAAATAGGAGTAAAAAAGGCGTAAATTTCAAAACGTTTCTACTCCTATTTAGGGAATTCTCTCTTTCTTTTATTATATAACTTTGGATGCTAACCCATCTAGAGAGAATTCCCTAAATAGGAACCGATGTGAAATGTTGTTTTTAGCCGATGTTAAAAGGCTTTTTTTGTACTAGTGTGGGCCAAGTTTTATTCAAGATTTAGAGCAATTATAGCACACCTTACTAAATTGAGCATTTAGCCTCTATTCTAAGCTGAGATTACATAGAAGAAGTAGAGAGAAGGGCTAAAGTTATTGAATACAAGTTGTCAACCTTTTACATTGAAATAAATGCTTCTATTTATATTACCATGGGGTTGGTGGTGGTGATGTGGCGAACCTTGAGTGGCTAACCCCCAACCATAAAATATTTCATATATGGTGCAATAAACGTGTCTCCCACAAATTATCTTGAGTCTGCGGGATGAGAACCTTCCAACGATGGCCAAGATGATTCACTCAAGGACATTGTGCCATGCGACGCACGCCGCGCGGCCCTGGGGTATGGGGTCAATCCTGGTGCAGGGGTATTGGGTTGATCCTGTGTTGGGCCAATTACCCCAACAATACCTTCTATTTTCCTTCTCATGGTGACGACTGATTTGGTGATGAAAGTGGTTGAACTCTAAACAAATGGGGAAATAGGAAAAGTAAGAGAAGAAAGGAGTAGAAAGGGATGGCGCAAGGCGCAAGGCGCAAGGAGGTCAAATACTCCGTATTTGTTGAAGTAGAAGTCAACTAATTGGTTAAGGTTGTATATATGTGGAACTATCAATTTAATGAAAACGATGTAGTTTACATGAGGTACGGTGTTTTTAAATATTTTAAGGCCCATTAAAAACTTATAAGTTTGTCAAAGTTTAAAATGTTATGTTGTTATATTTAAAATTTTGATAAATCAAAACTTGCCACTATTTTCTAGTGTACCAAAACAATCAACGAACGGACCATCATAAATATAACCGACTTCATTTCCTCAATAGAAGTAAAATACATTTTTAAAGAAAATCGTCTATATTGAAATAAACTTATCCAAAATACTTACCCAACTCCTCACTTGCCTAATCAGACATAGAAATAGTCACCCTATAAAGAGTAAATTATTTTACTAACCATGTGAGAGCTTTGAAAAAGTCGGTTGTTGGTGCCTTTATGCCTCTCACCTATAAAACACTCACCAAAATAAACCACCCCAAACCCCAAGTGCTACAAGCAGTGGCGTATCCAGGAATGATGGTGAGTGGGGGCGACTTTACATTATACATTCTCTTAATCATGTCACATACAGTTGAATACAATAAGATTTTTTTTGTGAAATTCGTTATAAATAATAAAATATTTGTTCGATGAAAAACATGAAAACATACTAGAAAATTTTCAAAAATAAATTAGTCATAAATTTTTAATTTTCTAAAATATGTTAAAAAATATATGAGTTGAATAAGGGACATATATCTTTTATATTTAGTATTAATGTAAATTGTGAATGCTTAATTATATCTATAAATCAGTTTCTATTTAGTGTAAAAATGTAATTGCAAAACTTTATAAATTACAATACATACATTCTCTTTTAGTTGCAACGTTGGTGATTTTGCACTATTCACATATTTTTACTTTGATTACATTTTATTTATTAATGTATAAAAAATTAAGTTTTTGAAAAGTATTTTACAATTAAAAAAGAAGGAAGTATGATAACCAAATATTGTAATGAAGTAGTTAATCTATCAAATTTGAGAAAAATTGATAGGATTATATAAAATCACTTATAAAACTTAAAAGAAGAATAGGAATAAAAGAGGATAAAAGAAAAGGAATGAATAAAAAGAGCAAGAATATGGGTTTTGAACCCCTGATCTTTGGGGACATCTAAACACGCATAGGATACATGTGTTTCCGCGGGGACAAATAGACTTTCAATATAAGCTTCGTAATTACAATATATTATATTCCAAGATAGCATATAAATATAAATTTGATTATAAATTAAATATATATATAGGGGTTGGGCACTTGAGTGGGGTTGAGAGGGGGCAGCTGCCCCCACTGCCCCCATAGTAAATCCGCCACTGGCTACAAGTAACAACACGCCGAAATATACTTATTATGACTATCATAGTAAAAAAAAAAAATTCTTCCTCATCTTCCAGCTTGCAAGCCCAACTCTGGCAATCACCTTCAGTATTTTTGACGAGCTGACTCGCCTCCTTCCCATATTTTGGGACAAAAAGTTCAATGTCTATGTTCACATCCTCTTTGGTAGCCTTCTCATCCTCGAGACTTTATCGCTTCTAATGATCTTGTCTTCATTCCTTGCCCTCATACTGCTCGCTGCCCCCGTCAACAGACTACCCTAAGGGCCCATTTGGTATGATATAAAGTAAACACTTTGTACGTAAAATGTAGGGATGTAAATATTTTATTCCGTTTGTTGAAAGTTGAAACTAGGTTTATAAGTTGGGTGCTCCCCAATCCCCTGCAAAGTATTTCTCCCGCAAATTGAGCATTTAGATTTACGTAAATAAATGCATAACGCATATGCTATTGGTGATGTAAATTTTTATGGAATATGAAGTAGTAATTTCATGGCTAAGTTGAACAATTCAGCATCCTGTCATTGGCGTTTAATTTGTTGAATGGGGTAACTGGGTAAGTTGTCTTCCAAACAAATAATTATAAAGAGATTGGGTGTAATTTATTAAAAATAGATTACACACATTGTTGTATTTCTATTTTACATGCAAACTAATTAGTGTCATACACTTTACATGCAATAATTTTGTATGCTAAATTTTAATGTGTAAACTATCAAACAGGCCCTGGATATGGAGTGAAAAATAAAGTTTAATCATATTTAAGAAATATGAAATATAAATTCGTATTTGAAACGTGTTTTTGGGCTTGAAAATATAAAATATAAATTCCTATTTAAAAATTAGGCTTGAAAACGTGAATCCATCAAATCTTTAAAGAGACTCAAAGAATAGATGAGATCGGTGCTGTTACTATAAAGACTATATCTAGTCACGGGCGGATGGGAAGATCTGAAATTCTAGAAGTTTTAAATAAATTTCTTCATTTAACTACAAACCCAGTAAACCTTCCCTCTTCCGTACTGCTATTCAGCCAAATAGTCTCCTACCCCCACCGACACGAATGAATATGTTAAAGGAAAACGCCCAGATGGATGAATAAGAAGATAACTGGAGTTGCTTTTGGAGCTGCCCATTCCTCCCAATGCCGTTCTTGATTGATCAATTGCATAGCTGATTCACAAGACTCCATCTTTGTGGGGAGAGAAGTTTTCTTTTATATTGTAAATTAAAGGAAAGGAATTTGGCAAATTTGATCTTCCGGTTGGTGTATCTATCGGGTTTGGTGGGTAGATATGAAGAAGCTGAAGAACTATTACCTCAATGTGAGGCACCCACATAAAATGGAGCGGAAGTGGATCTTTCCTCTGGCTATAGGCTCTATCATCTTTCTATTCCTGTTGTTCCTTACAACCCTAACTTCCTCCGACGGCACCCCTCTTCTGCCGCTCTACCGATACTATGCTTCCGCCTCCGCCGCCTCCATTTTCATCGAATCTAAGCTCCGACCCATACCCGTTTCGACCCTCCCTCCCCCGCCCCGAATTGCCTACCTCATCTCCGGCTCCGCCGGCGACGGCAACATGCTCAAGCGCACACTTCAGGCTTTGTACCATCCGAACAACCAGTACGTGGTCCACCTGGACGCCGAATCATCGACAGAAGAACGGCTCGATCTGAGAAGCTACATCCAGGAACACCCGATCTTCACCGAAATGAAAAATGTGAGGATGATCGGTAAGGCGAATCTGGTAACCTACCGGGGCCCCACAATGGTGGCCAACACCCTACACGCAGCCGCCATCTTGTTGAAGGATGGCGGGAATTGGGACTGGTTTATCAACCTCAGTGCTTCAGATTACCCATTAGTGACTCAAGATGGTAATGCAGTTATGGTTGTTGCTGCTAATCGGTGCAAAAATCACATTAACTCTGGATTTTTAGTTAATAGTTTATTCATTTTTTGTGTGATTAATTACAGATCTGCTTTATACGTTTTCTCATTTGCCCCGGGATCTTAATTTCATCGATCATACAAGCAATATTGGTTGGAAAGAGTAAGTGGTCCTCTTGGTTTTGTTTTGTTTTGTTTTGGGGAAAAGGGTTTTAAGGATTGATTAATTAATTGTTAGGTTCTGGGTTTTCTGTTCTTAATAAAAGGTATCAAAGAGCAAAGCCGATTATAATTGATCCGGGGCTGTATATGTCAAAAAAGGCTGATGTTTTCTGGATTACACAAAGAAGAAGTGTGCCAACTGCTTTCAAGCTCTTTACAGGTGATAATCTACATCACTTTTCTTGGGTATAGCTTTGGCTTGAAGCACCGACCCACCCCACCCCTCCCTTTGTAGTTTTTATCTCTTTTCTGCCCCCAAAAAAATGTGTTAGAATTGTTAGATTTAAATGAGGTTGTGTGGGTTGATATTCCACTTTTTTGTTGGAGAACATGCTAAGCGAGACCTTTTATGTTTCAAGGCCAATGGTGGTAAGTCTTCAATTTAACACATAAATGTTTCACTAAGAAATTTGAGGATGGTGTATAAAGTGTGGGTGTAGAAAGGAGAAGATATAAGGGGATGTAAAAAAACAACATATTTCTCTTACTATAACCTTTATTTTATTTAACTCATGAAAATGAGTAAGATATATAGTTCTTTGTCTAGCTCAAAGAAGGAATTGCTTTCTTAGGTTTACAAAAAAGTGCAAGGCCATGGACAGCCCTTGTGTTTCCTCTGGCTGGATAAAAATAGTATATTGGGTAGCATTCATCCTCATTGGTACATAGATCTTTCACCCTGTCATTTCTCTAGGCTAAAGATCGCTTTTATGATATTTTGGCATTGATGTTGAGAGGGTACCATTTTTTCCCTTTCTTAGGGGCTCCCTTCGATAGCCACTTCTAGCTTATTTTTCCTTATCAGATGGTAAACTAGCTTATTATTTACTTATTTGGCTGAAGTGGATGTCATAAGATGCTTTTCCCTTCAGCAGATAAAACTATGATAGCCAACTAACCTTCTCCACCAAACGGGTCCTTATGATAAAGTTAGTTTGTGATCTCCTATGTGAATGCCATTGAAGATATAAGCATGGCCAACCAGCATGATACTGTTTTATTACATGATTACAGGATCTGCGTGGATGGTCCTCTCTCGGCCCTTTGTTGACTTTTGTATATGGGGATGGGACAATTTACCTCGAACCGTCCTTATGTACTACGCAAACTTCTTATCATCCCCTGAGGGTTATTTCCACACGGTCATATGTAATGCACGAGAGTTTAAGAACACCACGGTCAACAGTGACCTCCATTTCATTTCGTGGGATAACCCTCCCAAACAGCATCCTCATTACCTCACCCTCGATGACATGAAAAGGATGGTTGACAGCAACGCCCCTTTTGCTAGAAAGTTCCACCATGATGACCCTGTGCTTGACAGGATCGATTCTGACCTTCTGTTCCGCGGTAAAGACATGCTCATCCCGGGTGGGTGGTGTGCCGGCAATGGGACCCACCCGTGCTATGGTGTGGGTGATCTCACGCTTCTTAAACCCTCTGCAGGGGCAAAGAGACTGGAGAGTCTGCTTGGCTCTCTTCTGTCTGATGAGAATTTCCGACCTCGGCAGTGCAATTAGGGATGGATATATGTCCAGTTCATGTTTTTTTGCAGTGGAAAGATATGATTATTAGATTATATCAGTCCAAATTACATCGACTTCTGAATATTTCAGAATTTGGCCGGTTCAGGTTGATGTTCTTGAATATCATTAGCCATGATACGGTCTTAACTCCCGCGATCGCCATGCAATTTCTGCTGCAAGCTGTAACCGATGACTTAACACCATGGGAAATGAAGAGTGGGTTTTCATCACTGATAAGTCCAAGAATACAAACTTATTTATTGACCAATTTATTGTTGTTATTGTTCATGTGGTAGTGCCCTTGAAACACGGGCAGCGACTGATATCTGTGATGATTTCCCTGTGTAAATCTTGTGTGTTATCATAATATCCTTAGCATTAGATATATGGACTTCTTTTTAGACCGTTATCTATGCCAGAAGTCTCCTTTTGCTATTTAAAACAATTTAGAGTTTAACTTCCCCTTTTTGTACCAATGGAATGTCACAAGCAGTACATCTCTACTTATTCTTTCAGTTCAAATGATATTAGAAATATGTCAATATTTCGTTTCCATTTAATAATGATGCCTAACACTTTAGAAATTAATTTGATTTTCAAGACTTAATTTCTGAAATGATCCATGCTTTCACTAAAATAATTTTCTGATGTTTCTTTTGGCTATAAGACACGAGTTTTGCCTATGCATTCACTAAAATAATCCCTTTGTCTCTAACAATTTAAGAGGTTGTTTGGTGACCCTATTTTTTAACTTATCACGTTTATCAGTTAACTTTTTCACAAAAAACGTATTTTTTTATTTCGGGCTCTGAATTGTGTAAAAAAAGAGTAAAGCTGGAGTTACAATTGTGACTGTATTGGCGGAATTTACTGTAGAGGATCATTTTAGTTATTTTTCATGTAATTTTTCCTTTATTTTATTAATAAAATATATTTTAGTATAATTTTTTCATAAATTAGCAGTATAAGCTAAATCAGCCACTTCAACCATTCATAAATCTAAGCAGAATCAGCCGATGATGAAGTGTGTGACATTGCACGCAATTGTTGTTTCAAATTAGAACGTTTCTACTTAAACTTCAATAGTAGATTGGGTCAAGCCAAATCATATATTTAAGCAGATCAGATCAGAATTTAAAATATCAGACTTTGATAGTTGTAAAATACATAGGATCATACATGTACTAGACCAAATCAGACCGCACTTAAATGGATTAGACCAGATAAAAAAAACTCAATCTAATTAAAACATCCTTAAACCCACTAAAAGCATGTGTTAATTTTTTAAAAATGGGATCAGATCAGCCTCACTATCATTCCAGCATGGTTATAAAATTTGTCCTAGGCGTCTGCCTAGTCGTTAGGCGGTGGTCGGGCACCCTGATTTCGTTGTAATCGGTGGAAAACGTCAGTCGAGCGCCTAGGCGGGCTAGACGGTCAGGATTAAATTCTTTCTAACCCCAATTTATTTTTATCATTTTGTCTTAAAGGACGTGTTGGGTTAATGGCCCAATTAAAGGATTGGCCCATTAAGCCCTTCTTCGGACGAACGTCTAGGCCCAATAAGGCCAACATTGCACAGATGAATGTCTATACAGAATACGAGTAATCACGTCTCAAGATCCAAGGCTGTGGGGACGCACGTCACCACCCCTGACCCACGGCTCAGAGGAGATCTTGTCCAGGAACTAATCAACACATTCTACATAAGGGTCAGACGACGCACGGCCCACAACCCTTTGCAATATTGCCAAGAGCAGGACCCAATCTCAGGGGGACATTCTCCACAAATGGGCGGGAAATCGACATCTTGGCGGGAAGCGCATTTAATGCTGGAGATTTGGTGGTTGAGGCTTCAGCCATTCACAGGTATCCACGTCAGCATAGCCAACTGCCCATTGGTGGTATAAATAGTAGCATTTATTTCATTGTAAAGGTTGACAACTTATCTGTCTTAGAATTCTAGCTTATTATCTGCTCTTAGCCCGTAACCGCAGGTCTTCTACTGAGGTGTAAGACGAACGGCATTGGGCCTTAGCATAGTGCATTGTATCGGGAAGTTACTAGGTTCTAATAATACTCGGTCCACTATTGCATACATTTCTTAGCCCACCTTACTTGCTTGCATCTCATGTACACACTAATCCACTCGAAATCCTTGGGCTTACGTGTTGGACCCAAGGGTTGAAGGAATAAACCTCAACAGAATGTTTGATCAATAAGTTTGAAATATATACTCCCTCCGTATCTATTTAATTGTCACACTTTCCTTTTTTTATATATTAAATTAATTGTTTCCTTTCCTTTTTTGGAAAGAACCCTGCGCAAAAAGCAGATACAATACCACTACAGTACTGCTACAGTACAGCTACGTTACCAAAAACCTTTTACTTTTTTTATAAAGTCTACAGTGATTGTTTTAAACTCCGTGAAAAGAAAATGGGTCAACTAATTAGATACGGAGGGAGTAATTTTTTTAGAATGTATGTGAACATATTTAGAGACTAAAAAATACAAATATCTTCATTTATCTATTAATTACTTTATTATTGATATTTTTCTACAAAAAAAAACATAATATCTAATGATTATATGAGTGTTGAGTTTAATCTAACACGATATAGTAAATATATGTATGAACACACAGTTTTTACGTGGAAACCCGAAAGGGAGAAAACCACGGGACTTTTTAGGCTAATGTCCAAGCCCTCTCTTTCTCATTAATCTCTCCTCACCATTACACAGTACAATTTGAGTTCCCGTTCATGGAGTATCATCTAATCTAGAGAGCTAAAGGAAGAAGGAAAAAGATCCTTTACATGGAGGGAAAACCTCCTATAAATAGGGAAAGGGGTGAGGGAAGTACTCCACCCTAATGGGTCAAACGGGCCGATGTCGGGCCTAATGGCCAAAGTGGGCAAGAATGGGCCGAAATGGACCTAGCTGTTCGGGCTCCGTACTGGATAATGTCTTGGGCTCCTGAACAGTAATAGGCCGGGATAATATATCCCAACACAAGTCCCCCAGTTTCTTGAGTAGTGAGCGTGCGAATCTGCTCGAGAAAATATACTCTTGCCTGCGCTCTTCCTCTGTCTTGCTGGAAACTGTGTCTTCGAATAATCATAATATATGAGTGGGTGTCTGCACTCCTGAACGTAATCTGCCGGTGAGGCACCCCCCTTCCCGACGGGGTCGGGCGAAGGGTGCTCCTCCACGGGCACACTCCCCCTGAATGCATCAGGCGGGAGTAAAGGACTCTGACTCGAGCTTTCCAATCGGAGAAGCTTAGAGGTCCATGCATCTATAAACCGACGTCGCGATACTGTCAAAACATGATGCACATGTGTATGTATGAATGTATGAGGTATGATGCATGAATGCATGAATGCATGTAATGTATGGGTGCAATGTATGAGAGAAGGAATGTGAGATGTGATAGAAAGCGGTGGCTCTCATCGATAAACTGGGCATGTCAGCGTCGAGAGGCAGACGTGCTGCATAAGATGGTCGTCGCCATCTTAGAAGGGATGGGCGATCCGGAGATGAACTCGACACAATGGCACTGAGGGGCCAATCATGCTGTATAAGAGACGTTCGTCGCCATCCTGGAAGGGATGGGCGAACCGAACATGAGCTAGACACGATGGTGCTGAGGGGCCGATCGTGATGCATGAGAGACGTTCGTTGCCATCCTGGAAGGGATGGGCGAGCCGAACATGAGCCAGACACGATGGCGCTGCGAGGCCGATCGTGCTGCATAAAGACGTTCGTCGCCATCCTGGAAGGGAATGGGCGAGCTGAACCGTGAATCTGGACACGATGGCGCTGAGGGGCCGATCGTGATGCATAAGACGTTCGTCGCCACCCTGGAAGAGATGGACGAACCGAACATGAGCCAGACACGATGGTGTTGAGAGGCCGATCGTGCTGCATAAAGACGTTCGTCGCCATCCTGGAAGGGAATGGGCGAGCCGAACCGTGAATCTGGACACGATGGCGCTGAGGGGCCGATCGTGATGCATAAGACGTTCGTCGCCACCCTGGAAGGGATGGACGAACCGAACATGAGCCAGACACGATGGTGCTGAGAGGCCGATCGTGCTGCATAAAGACGTTCGTCGCCATCCTGGAAGGGAATGGGCGAACCGAACCGTGAATCTGGACACGATGGCGCTGAGGGGGCCGATCGTGATGCATGAGAGACGTTCGTTGCCATCCTGGAAGGGATGGGCGAGCCGAACATGAGCCAGACACGATGGCGCTGAGAGGCCGATCGTGCTGCATAAAGACGTTTGTCGCCATCCTGGAAGGGAATGGGCAAGCCGAACCGTGAATCTGGACACGATGGCGCTGAGGGGCCGATCGTGATGCATAAGACGTTCGTCGCCACCCTGGAAGGGATGGACGAGCTGAACGCCGAGCTGGGTACGATGGCGCTGAGGGGCCGATCGTACTGCATAAGACGGTCGTCGCCATCTTGGAAGGGAATGGGCGAGCCGAACCGTGAGTCTGGACACGATGGCGCTGAGGGGCCGATCGTGATGCATAAGACGTTCGTCGCCACCCTGGAAGGGATGGACGAGCTGAATGTGAGCTGGGTACGATGGCGCTGAGGGGCCGATCGTACTGCATAAGACGGCCGTCGCCATCCTGGAGGGAATGGGCGAGCCGAACCGTGAATCTGGACACGATGGCGCTGAGGGGCCGATCATGATGCATAAGACGTTCGTCGCCACCCTGGAAGGGATGGGCGAGCTGAACGTGAGCTTGGTACGATGGCGCTGAGGGGGCCGATCGTACTGCATAAGACGGTCGTCGCCATCCTGGAGAGAATGGGCGAGCCGAACCGTGAATCTGGACACGATGGCGCTGAGGGGCCGATCGTGATGCATAAGACGTTCGTCGCCACCCCAGAAGGGATGGGCGAGCTGAACGTGAGCTGGGTACGATGGCGCTGAGGGGCCGATCGTACTGCATAAGACGGTCGTTGCCATCCTGGAGGGAATGGGCGAGCCGAACCGTGAATTTAGACACGATGGCGCTGAGGGGCCGATCGTGATATAGAAAAATAGTGATGATCATCTCATGGCCCTTGGCCTGTTGGTGAGTGGTAATCGTCTCACGGCCCTCGTCCATGCTGGTGATGTGACAAGTCTCTCTCCTGATTGGCTGTGAGAAGTCGATCGTCTGCCAGGACTCCATCCGGGAAGGAATGGTGAGCCTGAAATAAATCTAGGCGATGTCCCTCCTACCTGATCTGGGGAGCTAATCGTCGTTCGTCTACCGTATCTGTGGTCCTATGTATGGACCGCTAAGCGGTGTACACTCGGCACGCAACAGACTGATATTCATGTAATTTCCGATTGTATATTTGTATTTTTAACTAGTTTTTATTAGTTCTAGTTGTGGAAATTACACACTTTTGGTGTAACACTTTATTTTCATTTTTATTTGTAATTTGGTTAGATTAGGATTTTTCTGAGCTAAACAGGTCAAAGATCATCCAAAGGATCAAGAT